GGTGCTTTGGTGTGGCTCAGGGTGTGAACCTAGAGGTGAAATCACTGTTCCGTGAAAAATCAGTACAGCTCAAAAACCCAAGGAGCTGGGATTGCCACCTGGATTTGTGCCAGCAGTGATGGTCAGGACTTCAATGGCACTGACAAAGCAAGTGTTGATATCAGCAAGTGTCTTTCAAGCATTTTAGTTTAGGGAGGGGGGGGCCTGGATTTTGTTCTTCTTTGTTTTCTGGTCTCCTGATAACCTGATTTTGTTTTTGAGGGGTCTGCAGCACTGGGGGCCGCCAGTGTGATATCTGTCCTCCCATCCTAGGACCCAAGGGAAGGGACTGGTGTAGGGGAGTCGTATCAGCTTTTGCTTTTTCCTATAGAATAATGGAAAGGCTCGGTTTGGAAGGGACCTTTAAGACCACCTGGCTCCAACCCTCAGTACCATTCTAATGTTGCTGCCATACAAGGTCAGAACAGGTGCAGCCATTTGAAGTTGGGGTTCACCAGTGTGATGCACCAGTTGTCACAGGGGAACTGGGGCTGAGTGACACAGGGACTGGCCCAGAGCAGTGCTGGGGCTGGACTCAGGACCAGCAGAGGGGGCCCAGCTCTCCATTCCTTCCCAGCCCAGCTTCTCCTCTGCCAGAGATGGGTTTTGCCACCCGGCACCCAAGGGATGCACATTCCCTTTCCACTCCTTCCTGCTTGCACGTTTTTCCTGAATCCTTGACTTTTCCATGCCTCCAACAAGCCTCTAAGCCTCATCTCAGAACTGCTGAGTTCTGAGTTGCAAGGGACCCACAAGGGTCATCGAATCCAACTCCTGGCCCTGCACAGGACACTCCAACAATCCCCCTCTGTCTCTGAGTGTCTTGTCCAAGGGCTCCTTGAGGGGGGAAGTTTGGGGTGGGTTTGGGGCTGTGATCCCTGCTCTGGATGGAGAAATGCTTGCTGATATCCAACCCAAACCTCCCTTGACACAGCTCCAGCCATTCCACTGGGGTCTTATCTGTGGTCACAGCGAGGAGATCGCTGCTACCCCTCCGCTTCCCTATCTCCTCTTCCCTTAGGATCGGGAAAGAGCTGGGAAAGGAGTGGGGTGGGGGAAGAGAAGGAAAACTCCATCTGGTGTTACCCCAGCGGGGGGAAAGAGGGAGGCAAAGGCTTTTTGGGGAGCCGGGACATCCCCCGGCCGGCGCGTTCGAAGTTGCCGCGGGGCCGGGGAGGGCG